TTCAGAGCCCCAGCCATGTCCGGGCTTTCCCAAGCAGGCACTGTGTACAAGCCTCACACTAACTTGTCCCTCTACCTCAGTCTTAATCACTAACTCTTCCATTTAAACAACCACGAAACCTATCTGATTCCATTTCCTAAGGTCCTCTGGTCTTCTTTCTAACCTTGTCTACACCTCTCCATATGACTCAAGAGTCTGCCTTTAAGCAGCACAGACCTGAACCTGTTCGTTTCCCACTGAACACAATCCTGTCGTTCTTGAACTCTTAGAGCTGCAGCAATGCTTGCTCTTCCTTTTCACATGTCTGGTACTCCAGGTGTCAGCTCTTGAACCCCTTATTTTCTCCACTTTCTTCCTCTCGGAAGCCTTCCTAGACGCCCAGCTTCTCCCATCACTGTCCCCATCCAGGACTCGGAGGCCTGGACTTCTTCAAATGAGCATTTATTCCACGACACTGACCATTGTGTCCCTCGGCGGCGGCATCTCGCACCAGTGCTGCCCACTGCTGTGCTTCTTGAGGGTTGAGGAAGTGCACACTGAAGGTTCCAGGCCCTCCCGGTGGAGGCTGCAGCTCGTGTTGGTTAGGTCCACGGACTGTATAGCAAATAGACTCCAAGGGCCATTCAAAACCGACCTGAAACGGGGGAAAGTGCTGGGTCAATGGCTCCTCGTCATCCACCGAAGATCAAAGGAAAAGGAAATAAGCAGAAGTAGTTTTTACCGTCCTAAGCCTTTCTTGCCCGTTATCTTACCAATTCCTCGCGAGAGTTTTAAAGCATTAACCCCATTTTTACAGGCAAGCGAAGAAAAGTAACTGCATAAGGGCAGTCGGCAGGGGAATGGAGAGAGGGTTGACTCCGCTGTCCCCGGCCCACACTCACCGCCCCTGGCCCGGTGCCCAACAGCCCCAGCCGGAAGCGCCCAGGCCGCTCAGGGTCGGCGCTCAACTGCAGCCTCCGTAGCTGCGCCTCGGCGTCGTGCCCGGCGCCCAGAGGTCTCACCGCGGCGTGCACTGCCAGGAGCACCGCAGGTGAACTAGGTTCTGCAGCCGCGGCGGCCCCGCCGGCGGGCGGCGCCATACCTGGCGCGGCAGAGTCCCGACCCTCCGTGAGCGCTTCCGTCACTCAAGAGTTGTCGAGCGCTTCCGCCGGCCAGAAACTCAGACTATGGCCCCAGGTTCCGGATGCGCCAGAGCGTGGAGGAGGAGAAAGGAGCAGTGCAGCGCGCTACCTTAGCCTGACCCCCGGTGGTGCTCGGGGATAGAGATGCTCCGAGGATCTCCAGGCACGCTAGTCACGTTTGAGCTGGGCCCGGGACAGTGTCAGAGACCAAGCACCGGCCACAAAATGAAGGCAAGGTTGGACTTTTCTCAAAGGTTCGAACGGGCGAGAGCTGCTGTCCGACGTAAGACAACACCCAGGACCCGATAGGAGAAGGGCGCCGATCTACACAAACCAGCCACACATACACACCCCAGACACACTCGGGGAGTCTGTACCACTCTGAGAACAGGGCTGGCCCGGGGGCGGGGCGGGAGCGCCCTAACCAATCAACACTAAGAGGGGAGGCGGGTTCGTAAGCGAGGGCGAGACAGACAGGCCACTCGACCAGTAGAGGTGAAAGACAAGTCTGAGTGACGGAGAATTCCTCCAATGGTTGGTCGCGGTCTGGATCCTGAGGTTGGAGCGGACCATTCAGAGGAGTGGGGCCGGGCCTGTCGGACGCTTGTTGTTGTCGGGCCGGGGGAGGCGGAGGTCGCTGTTTCGCTCGCTGTTTGGTGCGATCTGTGGTGGTCCGCGGCAGGTCAGTCGCAAAAGTGGGTACTGCAGGGGGGCGAGGCTATGTCGCGGCTGCAGCCCGTATGGGCCGGCAGGGCCTGGAGTAACGGGACGCCGCCACGAAGCTTCTTCCCCCGGATACAGTGCGGCCCGAGTGGAGGCCGCGGCGCCGCCCTCCGGTCCTGAGGAACTCGCGCCGCGCGCAGCCCGCGCCGCCGTCATCTCAGCACCGACGCTAAGCAACTCGGCTAGCCTGGCTTGATCTAGCCCGTTCCTGGCAGGTGGGTGTCCGCCTTGTGCTCCGAGTGGTCCCGGACTGCGGGAACCACAGTCCCCGGCAGGGCTCGCGCCTCTGCACTGCCTCATGGGACTTGTAGTTTTGCCGCTGCCTGGCCAGAGCGCCTCTCCTGGTGTGCTGCCTCCTGGGGCTTGTAGTTTTCCCATACGAATCTACTGGTGCCTCTCTGCTCCCGAGGCAGCAATGCCAGGAGACTGCTGGGCTGAGCCAGCGGAGGCGGTGGGGCCGTCCTACGCTCTTTGGCGTACAAAGAGAGAATCAGGCATATTTGCAAATAGAACTGAAGAACTCATGGGTTTACTCTTCTCGCCAGGAAGCAACGAAGCAATCCGGGGAAGAGCGCTCATACAGGTGACCCTCAGGGCTCAAGCCCCAGGTACCCGGTTCCGAACCGGATTGCAGGTTCTTTTTTTTTTTTTT